CCAGGGCTTCACGCCTGGCAGCCATGGAACTGCAGTTCAGTAAATCCCTACCCCAGGTGGAAGTGCCACTGCCCTCTAACAGGATCACAGCTTGAAAAGTTAATACCCGGTCTCCTTCCTACTTCAGAGCCTCAGCAATGGTATTTGTGGTCTCATGAGTTGCTTTTATTGAGTAGAGAGACTGTATTACCTAATGCATTCAGCTCTGAAGAGATGGATTACCTCTTGAACCTTGGAAGACACATCATAGAACTAGAGTGGCAGATTTTGTATGCAGTGCTCAATTTTTGCCCAGGCATCTGCCCCACAGTTCTCTACCATGTGAGTCTGTTTCCTGAATTACTTGCAGTTTCCCAGGGGCGAAAAGTACCTTTTCTGCTTGGGTCATATTTGCTTAAAAAATGTTGATTGCCCAGACTCTGGCACATTGGGAACAGCATTTCTTACATATTGCAGTAAGCAAGAATTCACTGGCCAAAATGTGATTTTAAGATTTTGTCCTTTTGACAAGCCCCAAATCTCCAATGTCTTTAACAAGTAGATGGAGGACAAAGAAATAATTTCCTTGCACCGCTCACAAGAGCCAAAGGCACTGTTTGGTGATCAATATGGGAATGTGAATGGCAAGAACAGTGGAAGACTTACAAACGGATGCCCAAAAGGGTATTTTCCAAGAACTGCTAAACAGATGGCTCAGCTGCAGAAAGCCTGTACTCAAAGCAGGAGGAGGCCAACAAGGCTGCCAGCATTGCATGTGCCATATCTCTTCATGTTGTTCCAGCAGGAAGGAGGACTACAGCCACAGGACACCCAAAAGAAAGAAGCAAAGGCATTGGCAAATTCCCTTGTGGATAATGTACAGAGGGTGAAATGAAAAAGATGCTGAGACAAAAGATCATGGTGCAGTTAACAGCCAACTTCCCAAACCAGTCCATCATCACCAGTCCAGAGGAGCCAAGGACACAGTGAGGAGGCAATGGGCTGGTGTCTCTCATCCTCCATGTTCCGCACAAGTAACCTTTCCAAGCCATTTGGATATGTCTTTGTGCTGACAGTACAGGTGAGTAGAGTCAGCTTTCTCAGATAGGTAAGTAAAATAAAAATTACTTTCCCCTTCCAAACAGTCTTGCTTTGTGCTTTCGTTCATTCCTACAAATAAAATCACACTGGGTTTTCATGGCAGACAGCTATCTGCAGTTGGCCATACATTTGTAATGCTTGCAGAAAATGGCACTAAGTCATTTGCATGAGGCTGAGTGTTGCCAAGAAAAAATAATTTACTCAGATTTTGAGCTAGATGGAGTACAATCTTTTTCTGATTGTGATTCTCTGAAATGATGTCCATAACAGTCAGAACTGGCCTCAGTACCCAGGAAGGCCTTCTCACCTCCCTACCATATTTTATTTTGCTGATCTATCCATTTAGTCAGGGGTGCAGCTGTACACATCCTCAGGCATTAAATTAATAGGTTTTCATCTATGGAGTGTTCAAAGCTCTTAAAATACCATGAATCCCTGCAAAAGGAACTGAGCTTGCTGTTAAATGCAGCTTGTCCTGAACACTTGGCATGGAGGATGTTTACCAGCATTTTATAATTCTTACTGTATCTGTGATTTGTGTTAAGTCCCATTGAGAGCAACAGCTTTTTTTCTGTGGATATTTAAATTCCATCTGATTTGGGGGCTCCTTGGATTAAGCATCTTCATTTGGGTTTTACAGAGTAATTGAACATCCTTAGCTCCCTCTGACCTCAGAGAGAAAGCTGCATGCTTGGCTTTTTAGAAATTCAGATCCAAAGTGGCCTCCTGAGATTGAGAAGTAGTCACATTAGCAAACTCTGAGCACCCTAGCCATGCTCCTTGCTTTTGTGGTTCATGAGATGCCAGAACATGGATGGTTAAGCTGCTGAGCTTATCCCATCTGTACATGAAGCTGAATACGCTGGTGGGGGACTAATCCTGGAAACAGAGGGCACAGAGAATATCCAGAAAGTGAATGACCTTGTTCCTTTCCCCTCTATCAATTTAGGACATCAGGAAAAAGCCTTCAGTTCAGCAACCCACCCTCAAACCATCCCAAATTTCCAGGACCAAAGCAGATCCCAGCAGGGCAGCACCCCACAGCAGATGCAGACAACTGAGCTCTTCCAGGAAATGCTCTAAAACTGTTCTGACAGCATTACGAGAAGTTTCCAGTTTCCAACCAGACTGTACCTGTGACACTTTGACCCCATTCTTCCTACATAGTGTTTTACATAATGTTTTTCTCCTCTGATATTCATCATTCTGATTGGGATCCTAAACCTGCTGTGCCTGGAGATTCTCAGCAAGAAAGTCTTTTCTTACCTTCTGTGTCTACACAGAAATTTTGGAAAGCAAGACCAGAGTGATTTCAAAGGCCTTGGAACAAGAATACATTCATGAGATCAAGCCCCTAAATAGCATTAGTCAGTAGTAAGACGGGGGATGCACGTCTCTGCTGTTACTCTGCAGAGGAGCTAGGAAATCCTGCAGTGCATTGCAGGACACAGAGGAGCACAGCAAACGGAGGGGAAGAAACGGGCACAGGGAAATTCCCACAGGACCTATGAAGAACACTCATCTCAAGGAGTCTACTGTAGCTTTGGGACAGGGTTAGAGAGGTGGAAGGGTCCCAATCTTTGGAGATATTCAACACTTGCCTGGACAGGCCCTAAACAACATTATCCAGCTCTGGAGCAAGCTCTGCTCCAGACAGAGGCTGCATGGGGTGCTCCAGGTGTTCTCCTCAGCCCCATCCCACTTCTCTATCTCCACAGTTCACTTGCCAGCTCCCGTATGGGAGAAAGGTGGCAGCTCCCCAACCCCTGCACTCCAGAGGGATCTAAGCAAGAAAGCTGATATTAACTTGACCTACAGAAAGTCTTAACATCTGCCCCTAGACTGGCCCTGAGGAAATGGCACAGCATTAATGGCAGAGGCTGGTACACACGGCAAGAGCTTCATCATAAAATCAACCTCTTTAATCAACTCTGTCAGTGACGAGCCCTCAAGAGGCTCTTCCCCACACTAGATTACTCCCTGGAGGCTGCTGCCCTGTTTGCGTAATGCAGCACTGACATCCCAAGGACAGAAGTCCTGGACTCCTAAAGGAATCCCAGCTCTGTCTGCAGGGCACATGGCATTGGTAGCACTTGTCCCAGCCTGGCCAGGAAGAGCCATGCTTTGGAGGGGAGCTCCCTGCTGGATCTGAAACAGAGATCAGTTGCAAGCCTTTCATATCACTTGACTTTAGGAGGAAGTGCAGGATTTCCTTCCAGGAAATGACAAGTTAACCTTTCTGGGGATCAAAAGCAATGTTAAGGATGTAACATTATCACGACTAGCACCACAGTATCACCAGTACTACCACAGTAATGTCATGGTACTGCCACAGTCCCACTATGGCACTAACACAATACACGACAGTACCACCAGGTGCCACAGTACCATTGCTATGTCAAGTACCATTGTGGTACTGACTCAGTACACTGGTGCTGTGGTGATACTACCATGGTGCTGCCTAGCCCATGAAGAGGGAAGGGAAACAGTCATCTGCCATGTTAGGACCGCCCATGATCCTAGGGAAAAGTCAAAGCATCCCAAAGACCAAGGGAAACTGGATGTTGGATGCTCAGCAGTCACAGCCATTGAAACCAAGTGGGGTCATCGCGCTCACCACTTCCGCCCACACATGCAGCTGGTGCCTATGGTACCCACTGCAGGATCAGCCAGAACTGCTGGAGAACCCACAATGACCCCTTTGCGCCATCTCCTGCCCCTTGCCACCCTCCCCGGACGGCATGAGGCAGTCCTGTGGGTCAGAATAAAGCTGAGCACCAGAGCGAGGAACACCAACACCAAGACAGGGTGTTTACTCCCTCCCTCACCTGCTGGCTCTCCTGAAGCAAGAGGAGACATTACGTTTGGCACAATTGGTTCGAGTCTTGGGATGCACAGTTAAGGGGGATGGGAGCGGAAATGCTTCCTATACTGCTGCCCCAATTTTGTCTGGGGTGCTTCTGGAACAACAAAGAGCTGTGACCAGAGGTGGGCTAAGGACTGTGTGGCTAAATGTGGCATTTCCCTAAGCATCACGTTAAACAGCCATTCAAAAAAGACCCATAAGAGACTGCTTGAATGAAACAATTTTCTCTCCCGGTGGGTTTCCAGCAGTACCCTTGCTCCTGTGAGCTGGTCCAGCCACCCTCCAGCTGTGCTCAGGAACACAGCACTGGCATAGCTCAAAAATCTCCTGCTAAACCCCAACCAGCTCTGCTCACCTCTTCTTCCCCACACTCTAGAAGAACAGGCTGAGAGCTTATTCCTTCCCTATTTTAAACGCATCACAGAGTCACCTCAGAGCACCAGGGGATCCCAGAAAAATGAGCGATTTTACCCAAGGAAAGGGAAGGTGAGTTGTCATAAACAGGGCCAGCTAATGAACTTATGTGGCCAGGATTGAGGGGGTGAGGCTCCTAGGAAGCCTCTTCAGCTGTTTTCAGAGAGATGCTGCGAGGGGCAGGGCATTGCGTTGCCTCGAGGTGCCCTGCTTTGTCTGCAGGGACAAGATCCCCTCTGCCCACCAAGCCCACAACCCCTCCAGACTACCCTGCTGGAAGAGGGCGCGCTCTGGAAGCAGGTGGCAGAGAGCTGTGTCCCCTTCATCACCCTCAGCGCCACTGATGCTGCCGGAGCGCGGAGATGCCGCAGGGGTGGGGGAGCCCCGGGCTGCCATATCCGTGCCCGGAGCCAGCTCCAGCACCAGCAGGGCAGCGGCAGCTGGCAACCCCTGCGGCTCCTTCCCCCTCACCCGCTGCGTGGCAGCGGCTCCAGCAGCTCCCGGCCCCACGGGGTCGGTGCCGCGGGGCGGCTCAGCCGCGGCCCGGCGCAGCCACGGCCCGAGCCCGGCCGAGGCGACGGCCGTCCGTGGCCACGACGCCTCTCGCCCCGAAACGCGGCTCGCCGGGCAGCCGCCCTACCTGGGCCAGGCCGTCTGTCCGCTCACGTCCGAGCCCGTCCATGGCTTGCCGAGGCCTAACGAGCTCCGGCGCGGGGCGAACCCGCTGCGGGTCCGCCGGGGGGGCGCGGAGGCTGCTGCGGGATCCCTCCTGGGGCTGGGCTGCTCCGGCCCCCTCCGGGCCCGGGGACGGCGGGCGGCTCGCCCCGCCGGCGGCGTCCCCCTCGCCCTCACGCGTGGCCGGCGCCAGGGACACGTCCGGGCAGGCGGAGGCCGAGGCCGCGGGGACGGCGTCGCCCGTGTGCGGCGGGTCCGGCTCCTCCATGGCTCAGGCTGCGGCGCGGGGGGCTGTCCGCGGCTGCGGGGCCCGGCGCGGGCACCCCGAAGGCATCAGAGCGGCGACGGCGGCGGGCGCCCGGGCCGCGCTCCCGCCCGGCGGGGACGGAGGCGGCGGCAGCATCCCCGCGCCCGGGGAGGCTCCGTCCCCGCCTGGATCCGCCGGCTCGGCGGGCGGGCGGCTGCCGGTGCGTGTGCGCGTCCGTGCGCGCGTGTGTCCGCGTGTCTGCGCGTGTGCGCGTGTCCCACCCCGCACGCACACGCGCTCCGCTCCCGCACCCTACAAAGGCCGCCCGCTGCCCCCAGCCCCGCCGACCCCCGCGCCCGCCGAGGCCCGGGCCGGCCGCCGCAGCGCCGAGACGCCGGTGGGGGGCCGCGGGCGCTGCCCGCCCCTGGCCGCGGCCCGGCGGAGCTCCCCGCGCAGAGCCCCGCAGGCCCCGGCGGCCGCGCGGCCGAGCCGTGCACGCGGAGCCCGGGCCTGGGCACCCCGCCGGGAGGAACGCCGGCCCTGCCGGTTTCCATGGCAATGGTGCGGGAACGGTGCCGGCTGCCTGCCGATGAGGCTCCGGGCCGGGGGAGCCCCGCCACCGTCCCGCTGCCCCCCGCCTCGCCCGGCTCACGGGGTGCTGGCGGCGGGGTCCCGCCGGGCTCTCGCCCCCCCAGGCGCGGCTCCGGGGTTGGGGGTTCCTCTGTGGGGAGCCCCGCGCGTTTCCCCATCCCCTTCGGCCCTGGGATCGCCCGGTGTCCCGCTACTGCTGCCCCGCAGGGCCAAGCACAGTCACGACCCGCTGCCGAAAACACGAACTTGGGCCCTGCCAGCACACGTAGGGGCTGCGGTGGGTGAGCCACAATGTGGGAAGGGAGGGAGCTGTTGGGGTTGACGTGGTCCAGATGCACAGACGAGAGATGAGAGTTAGCGGCAGAGCGCTGCAGCAGAGCTCACACAGAGCCACAGAGGTGTCTGCTGCCCATCCCGCTCTCCGTGGATGGAAGCCGCCCCACACAGTGGGCCACACAGCACCAGTGACACAGCACCAGTCTATCGGGGAGAGCCCCCGCCCCGTTCCCCAGGACGCCCACTTGTCCTCGCTCCCCAGCCCAGCTCCAGCCTTGTCCTGCAGCAGGACACGGTTTGGCCATCCCTCCACTGCTGGGGATACACCCCAGCTGCTGCATCAGCATGCGTGGCTGCGGGGTGGACAGTGTTTTGTCACAGTGTTGCTCTGTTTGTGGCCATGGCTCCAGGTGAGGTACACACAGGAGGCTCAGGTGGCTGGCATGCACGTTTCAGAGGTTGCTTTATGAGCACTGCCTGTGGGAGCTCATGGGCACAGCCGGGCGTGCAGAGTGCAGATGTGTCACCTACTGAAACAGATGCCACTGGCTTCATGTCAGCTCTGCCTGAGCACAGACAGTGCAGACATCACCACCAACAGCAGTTTTCTCACCGCTGACTGTAAAGTCTGCAGATGACCCACTTAGATGCTGTGGGGAGTTAGCACCAGGTCTAACAGTCCCACATCTGGCAGCATCCTCGAAGCCTGCCGTCACACAAATCCAGGATCTCTGAGCTCTTCATTTTAAAGAGTGTTTATTGTGATCATCGCCAAGCTGGCCACAAGCAGTGAACAAAACCAACAGACCAGAGGGAAAATTTCACACAGCAGATCCCACCTACCCACATCTTCTGACACTTGCATATCTCCAATCACTAGCTCGAGTGACCCCCCCCACCCCCATGAGCACTCAGGATGAGTCCCACTGCCTTCCACTGCCAGGAGGAGACCTGGAACCCCCTGGTCCCTGCCCATGACTGTTTTCCTCCCCAGGAGATGCCAGGCAGGATCTCCAGATGCTGCACAAGTGCAGAGCAAAGCCCAGGTGCTGCACAACTTGCTGACAAGACAGAACAAGAAAGTTTAATTAGCAGGACGCAAGAGCCAGCAGTGGGAAGGGAAACGTGCCACTGATAAGATCATGTGGTTGCGAGCAGCGCACGGCACACGCTGCTCAAACAGCACAGCCTCCTTGGGAACCCTGCTCCGACATGTCTTATTTTGCACTTCCACTGCCATGTGCTGCTCACCACAGCAGTCTTTGCTTATCCCACCAGGGAACTGCTGCTATCACCAGACCTACTGTACAGTTCTAGGCTTCTCCCGCTCACCAGTGCCAGACCTGCGTGGCTCCATGGTGCTCCCAGGACCTGCTGCCCTGGAGTATCAGGGACCAGGGCCAAGCCAGGCACCCATTTTCTCCTCCCACAGTCCTACAGAAGACCCCAGTCAGGTGAGATGAAGTCAGGTGAGATGGTGGCGCATCAGTGGCATACACACTGAACCCATAGCCATGAGCTGTCCCTCCCTGAAGAGACTGGATGCATCCTGGCTTCCTGAGCTTGGCAAGCTGGAGGTGCTCTTACTCCTTGGCCAGCCAGCAGGATAAATCAGGGCCATGGACCATCCTTAGGGAGGAAAGAGAAATCCATCTGAGTTATTAAACAAAGGCACGGTGGCTTGGGAGCTCCTTGAGCTGAGTGAAGTCTTCATGACAGCTGTGGGGAAAAAGTGCTACAGGCACCTCCAGTTACCCCTTGGTTCCCCAAGTCATGCAAGCACCTGCTGTGGGTCAATGTTCCATGTACATGAGATGGAGCAAAGTGTTTCCTTAGAAAGACACTTGAAGCTCTCCTAAGACAGAGGAAATGACAGGCTTAGGAAAAACAAACAATGGCACTGAGCAATTAATGAAAACCAGGTGACAGTAGGGAGGCCTAGATCAACAATTCAACCCTGGGAAGCTGAAAAATGACTGCAGCAGAGCCCCCCAGCAGCACTCACTGCTCTCTAACGGCCTCCAAGGAGCCAAGGTGCAGATACAGAGTGCACAGACCCCAGGGCCTCCTGCCCTCTTCCACTGTGGAGCAGCAAGAGTGGACATGCTCCATGGCAGAGAAGAAATAAGGAGCCAAACGTTGACCCCAGGGACCTCAAAAACCAGGGAGCCATCCCATGGGTTTTGAGCAGGACACTGATAACAGGGTCCATTGGCAGCCTCCAGACAAGGTGAAATGAACCAGGACCAGGGGCTCCCCATGAGACTGCTCAGGGCAATTAAGACTAATTAGTGTCCTCAGTTGTCCTATCGACCTTCTCCTCTGCCTCAGGGGATGGAATTTGGTGGGACCATGAAGGATTAATGGGAGCTCCTGCAGCTCTCTGTGGTCTCAGCTGGGGAAGGAGGCTGAGGCCGTGCCAGCCCTGGGTGACCTGTGCCCTGCTGCAGGGGTGGTGGCACTGGGGCAGTTGGTGGGCATTGACCTGGTTCCATCCTCCTTTCCCGCAGGCCCCTGAGGACAGCCCCAGTGAGACCAGGACACATGGTGACACCAATGGGTGCCCACTCTCCCAGCTGAGAACCTTGGCTTCTGCTTCCCACCTCCCTCGACCCATTCCAGGGCCACCAGGGCTGAGGGTTTGCTCTGGCATGTCTTGGTGCAGATCTGGGGAGGAGACATGAACATCTGTGATGCCCATGCTTGCGAGGATTTCCTGGGCACTGTTGCATGGGAAATGTGCATTTGTAGGACACAGCATTGTGCTGGGGGTGCGTGCATCCCTGGGCAGGTGTGAGCACATGGGCTGAGCACAGCATGGCAGGGACCACCAGGCTCAGGAAACAGCTAAAAGCAGCCCAGCAGGGAAGGGGATGAGCTCAGCTGGGCGCAGGGCATGGTGCAGCCCCCCACAAATGTGGTGGCTCATGTTCTGCAGCATGGAAACCCCACAGCATGTGGGACTGGGGCATTTGTGTGGGTCTGAAGACAGTGGGGGAAGCCTTCCACTGCCCTCATGGCCCCGTTGGGCTGGGAGCTGCACAGCCTCCGCACGGCCATGGCATTGACCCGGGCGAGGAGAAATGCGCCGAGGTCCTTCAGAGACTGGTAGTTCCACCCAGTAGGGAATGGACACGTTTACTTGCAGGAACCAGCTGACATGCACTCAGCCCACAGGGAGGGCACTAAAAAAGGAGATGTGTTTAAAAAAAAAAAAGTTGCAGTTTCTGTTTTGCTGCTCTCAGCAAGAAATATGTTTCCAACGTCTCTGCAGGCAGTGAATGCTGGGTGGTTATAATATTTGTGAACATAATATTCATCAGTCATAAGTATCCAGGATTTATGTTGCCTAATACTTACATATTCATTATTAGGAACGTGACCTTTCAAAACTTCTACATATTAAAACTGTAAACTTGGGTTTTGTTTTCCTTTTAGGCACGCAACAAAATGAAAGCTGCTCGGGGCAGGCTGTGCTGCTTCCTTGTTTTTTTTTTTTTTTTTTTTTTTGTTTTTTGGTTTTTTTTCTTTTTTTTCTTTATTTTTTTTTTTGTATCTTTCCCAAGGCCAGGAGATGGGGAATCAAAGCCAAGCATGGGGATGCCCACAGGTGTTTGGGAACTGACATTTGGGCACTGGGGACCTGGAAAGCCAGAACATGGGGACAACAGCATGGATGGGCTGTGTGGGGGAGGACAGTGACCATAGGAGTGTCTCATTCCCTCTCTATGTGAAGGTGGCAGGGCTGTGGCAGGATGTGGCCACTTTGCCATAAGCCTGGATGGACACGGGGCACAAGTCCCACTGTGTGGTGCTGGTGCCCCTCGTACTGTTTCTAACACCCCTGAGCCCCCCCCAGGCCCTGTCCCCATGCAAGCTTCCAGTGCCCCCCAGCTGCTGGCCATGGCCTTGGGGAACTGCAGGTGTCTTTTTCCAGTTTTTGCGTTTCCCAGGAATAGAATAAAAAAGACAAAGTCCACAAGTCAACACTGAAAGAGTTTTATTTAGCAGCATCCTGCCATTGTGCAGCCATGCAAAGCTATTTGCCAGCCCCCCTGCCTCTCCCCACCCACACATGGCCACCACCACCCAGTTCCCCACAGGACTTTGCCATCCATGACCTGAAGATGGGGCAGAAAAGCATGAATCGCAGGCTTTGCTACCTACCTGGCCCCTCAGCCCCATGTCCCAGGTGTGCTGGCCTGGTGGCAGCAGGGACGGTGGTGGTGCTGGCGCCAGCCTGTCCTTGGCTCCCCAGCCGTGCACAGCTGATGGCCGGCCCGCAGGTGGCTGGCAGTGCTCTCTTCTCCGTAGCCCACAGTACACTCATCCATAAAGTAGGAAACACTACACCCTGCAGTGCTGTTTAGTAGTGCTTTCTACTTTATGGGTGACTGCACTGTCTCTCAGTCGGTGTCGGCGATGCTCTCCTCCAGCGACGTGGCCTCCTCCGCCTGCACCCCGCGTGCCTGGCCGTGGGGATGCTTCTGTGTCAGCATGGCCGGGGGCACGAACGGCAGGGCTGGCTTTGCCCTGGGGACAGGGAGCTCCTGCTGGCATCACATCCTGCCCTGGGGAACCATGCCAGGCACAAGGGACATCCTCACCTCATCCCTGTGGGGGAAATCCTGCCTGGTACCCCTGAAACCTCACCCTGGGCACAAAGGGGCAGCCTCGCTTTACCAGCCACTGTACCTCCTACACCATCATTCCCCTTTAAGCCCTATCCTGAGCACAAGGGACTCTGCCACCTTGTCCCCAAGGGGGGTATCCCACCTCAAACCCCTTTCTGACCACAAAGAACGCCCTTGCCTTGTTCCCACTGGAGGGGATCTCACCTCAAACCCCATCATCCCCTCTCAAACCCCATCCTGGGCAAAGATAGCCTCTTTGCCTTACCCTCATAGGGAGACCCTCATCTCATCATCTGTCCTGTTCACAAAGGTCCCCCTTGGACTCTTCCCAAACTGAGGTTGAGCTGCTCCCCTAGAGTTGTCTCCCTTGATAGGAAACACCCCACCTTAAACTCTGTTGTTGTCCTTCAAACCCCATACCTTGCCTTGATCTTAAGTTTGAGATCCCACCGTAAACTCCCTCATTGTCCCTTGAAGCCTATCGGTTTCACAGAGGAACCCTTTGCCTCATTCCCATGGGGGCACCCCACCTAAATGCCACTCAGGTCACAGAGGACTCTTTTTGCCTCAGTCCCATCATGGAGATCCCACAGCAAAGCCCATCTGAACCAAAGACCCCTTGCCTTGCCTTGTTCCCATGGTGGAGACACCATCTAAATTCCACTGTGGTCACAGAAGACTCCTTTACCTTGGCCTCATGGTGGAGACCCCATCCCCATTACAGGGACCACCCTTTAAAAGTCCCCATCTCATACTGCCATCCCTGTCACCGAGGTCCCCCTTGCCCTGTCTTATTGTGGGGATCCCACACTCTGTCCCCTCCAGAGAAGTCACCCTTTCCATGGGGCCACAGAAGTGCCATGGACCGGAGGCTTCCCAGGGACCTCCACCTCTCCCCTGCCTGCTACCCCTATGGAGACCCCCTCAGTGTCCCCGTTGCCCTTCAGGCCACATGGCAGGGGACACCAGGCAGCCCCTGTGGCCATGCAGAGCCATGCGCCCCACACTGACCTCAGCCCTGTGCCCCCCGGAATGTCTCTAGTGCCCCCCAGAATGGCTTCTGTGCCCAGCAGCAGCCTCACCTGCCCCACCAGCCTCTGCATCCTCTGCCTCCTGTCCGGCTGGAACTGAAATCTCCTTGGTGGCACTTCTGCTTCAGGCTCTTCCCATATCCTCCCGCCCACCACTGCAGCACCTCCTCCCTGGGGGGGACCCTCTTACCCATGGGGTGGCCCCCAGCACCCACTGTCCCCCTGGCAGCAGGTGGGGGCCATGGCCCCAGGACCTCTCCATGCCCCCACTGCTCCTCGAGCACCACGTGGGTGCCATGCCGCTGGCTGGGTCCCTCCGTACATTACCGGGTTGGGGCGCAGGTGGCCCATGCTGGGTGCCGGTGCTGCGGGTGGGTGCTCTACAGGGTGCTGGTGGCCAGGGAGCAATGGGCCCCTGCAGGGAGCGGGGCTTCTTTTAACCCCATCCTGCCCACGTGGCCCCGACCACAGGAAGAGCCGTAGCTGCCGAGGAGATAACGGTGCGCGGTCCCACCCAGCGCCACCCCACAGCCTGACCGCAGCCAGCCCAGCCGTGGGGCGAGGGGCGGCCGCTGCCGAGCGCCGGAAGCACCGGGGGCCGTTGCAGAGCAGCCGGTTACGCTCTCCTGGGCTTTGCTGTGCTGAGCAACAAACATGTTTGTGCAAAAAAAAAAAAAAAGTCTGCTTGCACGGGATGACAGCAACCATGTCCCCCTCACCCTGGTGCAGAGGCTGGGGACAGCTCCACGTGGCTCCACTGTGTCCCCTCACCCCATCTTTGCAGAGGGAGCATGACATTCCTGAAGACAGACATTATAGAAAGGTTGGTAGCCCTGGACGAGGTTCTGCAGGATTTTGGGTGCTGCAGTCTCCCAGCCTCATGGCAGGAGCGCAGCAGGAGACAATGTGGGTGCCAGCAGGCTGCAAGCTCCAGTCCTGCTCTTTAGAAAATGTGTTGCCCAAGAAACCTCCCTGTGCTTTTCCCCCATGCACTGTTCTGCAATACCAGACTTCCTCCAAGCCTGAGGAAGCCATAACGGCCAACAGGAACACGAGGCCCCCAAAAAGAAAATGAAAGCCAGCTATACAGGGAGGTCACACGCTTCTTGCAATGCTGGCTTGCAGGCTGGAGCTGTGCAGGGGCAGCCGTCACCGCCTGATGGCACCGGGACAGGAGCGAACTCCAGCAGCAGTTTTCCAGCCAAGGTCCCGTATCACAGAAGCCATCTCCAAGCCACGTGCAATTTCCTCACTAAGCTCTACAGCAAAGAGCTGTGTGTCTGGTGCAAGGGTTGTCTCCCAGCCTTGCTCTCCTTCCGCTGCCACTGAGAAGCACAGAGCAGAGGAAAGGAGCATGGCCAGGAGCAGTCTTTGCACCCACCACAGAGCTGGGGAAGGTCAGCCAGTGCTACATGAAGCTGTCCATTAAACTGGATTAAAAATTCTGAGCTAAATCCCCAAAACTGACTGTGAATGAGAGTGCATTGGTCCATGGGATGAGTTTCACATGGCTGTGCAAAATGTTCACTTTAGGACATTGCCATTCATTCTCTACATCGATAATCTGGGAGGAAATATAAAAAAACGTTACTAGCAAGGTTTGCAGAAGGCAGAGAAGGAGGAAAGTCAAAATCAACCGAGCCACTGTACAGTCAGCAGTTGTTTGAGTTTTGGCCTGCCTGAACATGTTTGGATCACAACAGGTAGAGGGGGTTTTGCTGTGAAACCCTTTCCAAACTGACGTTGAGCTGCTCCCCATAGAATCGTCTCTCTTTGTACATGCAGTTCAGCATTTGGTGGCTCAGGGCTGGGACCCCAGCGGCTGGCCTGGCACCAAGTCCCCGGCCCCTGAGTCACCCTCACATACTGCCTGTGGACTCTCACTGCTGTGGCTGGGCCTGGTGCTGCCCGGACCCACCGCCCTCTGCTTACACCCCACATGCAGAGACCTCTGCCCAGGGGTGCCCCACAGAGATCCCACATCTCCCCATTGCAATACATATCCCTGGGCTGAGGACATCTTGCTCATCAGACCCAAGGGAGAATCTCTGCCTTGCTGAGGCACGTGTCAAGCATCTCCTTGCTGGCAGCAAAAGCAACCACGTGTGTGGCTGTCCCCATGTTGGGCTGGGCTGGGCTGGCAACCTCCTGAGGTCTTCTCCTGCCTGAATTGTTCCATAACCCCTGGGGACATCCGAAATACTTGAATAACAATTTGGGTGGGGATAAGGTGTGATCAGGTCATTCCTGACCCAAAGACTCCCCCCCCCCCCCCCAGCCGCCAAGAGTCAGCACCCCATCCTTGAGGTGACAAGCCAGGCCAAGGGTGCTGTGGGGTGGTCCCCAGTGTGGTGGGGTGCTGTCACAGGGGGAAAAGCCACCACTGTGTGGTGAGGGGGGATGCTGCCAGCTGTCCCTCGGAGCCGGCCCGTTCTCTGATACCAAAGTAAAGGAGCATTTGTCCAAGCTGCTAGAGGCAGCTTTGTCCCCAGGGTGCTGCTGAGGGACTTTCCCCTGCGCTGCAGGGCTGAGGCCACACTTCTCGTGGCGTGCTTTGCTCTGATGACAAACCTGCCCCTGCTGAGAACAGGGGGCTGGGCTGGGTGAAGACAGGCACTGAAGCTCTTGAAGAAGACCTTTTCTTGGAGGAAAGGTCCATTTAACGCTAAAGGTGTTGCAAGGCGAGAGGGAGTTCATTTCCTGAAGGAGGCAGCTGGGAGAGACCGTTCTCAAGCAAGATGTCAGGGGGAGAGTGAAGTACGTGTCTGGGAGCGACGTGCTGGGGGATGCTGGGGCCCAGGGAATGCAGCAGGGCAAGGAGCCGAGCCCCCAGAATGGGGCTCCTGGCTGCCTGTCGCCTGCCCCATGTGGATCCGGGTCCCAGGAGCCATTCCCCCACAGGGGGCCCACAGGCGCCTTCCCAGCAGGGAAGTAGGGGAGGAGACGCTTCCTCTTTCCCCGCCTGGTGCAGCAGAGTGTGTCTGGGAGAACATCATATTTTGGGTCTCCGAAGCTGTTTCCTCCTCCAGCAGCAGCCATCTGCTGCCTTCTCTGTTTCTCCAAAAGAAGGAAATCAGCAGATCTGGTTACTTGGGCTGAGATGAGGAGGTCTGAAAGTCTCCAGCTGATGATGAACTCACCACATCCCCTGGCCATTGGTTAATTTTACCGACCAGCAAACAAGGCTACGGGAGTTTCTAACCCAGGCCTTGCAGCCCAGTCACTGTTCCCTCTGCACTCCAGACGCCCAGCCAAAATAGCTGCCAAAGGGCTGAGATCACAACAGACTTTCTGGGTTTGGTGTGGGGAGGCAAAAATGGCTGCATTTCCTCCTCATTGGACCTCAGGAGAGCACCCAGACCCCAGCACTTCCAGGTCCTTCTCTGCATCCTTGGGTGCTCAGGGACCTGTCGTGGTCCCCAGGGTGTCAGCTGCTGCAGCCCCCAAGCTGTACCAATTCCTGCAGTGGCAGCAGGACCTGGCACCACTCCCCAGCTGTGCTCGTGCCTTGCCTTGTCTCAGGGTGCCCAGCTGTGGCTCAGACACCCACAGCATCCCCCTGCTCCCAGGTGCCACCCACTTTTTGTTCCTTCCTGAGCGTTGATGGTGCATGGATGCCACCAGCCACTGTCCCTGCTCCCTGCTGCTGTTGCTTTTCCAGTAACTCTCCCAGTATCTGTGAGCACAGGGGAGCGGGTGCCGGGGTTTGGGGGGCAGCAGTGCTGTCAGCTCCAGCGTGCAGGCAGGGGGAAGGGCCCTTGTCAGGCCACGCAGTCAGGGCGCTGCAAAAGCGCTGATATTTCTTATCGCGCCTTGCAGCAACTTCCCCTCCTCGCCTGCGGTTGCAGCGCTCGCTGCACGCAGGGGAAGTGGCGGCCAGGCTGCCTGCCTTCAGCTCTGTGCTATGTTTAAAGGAGCCGTACTGCTTGAGATCTATGTTGGAGGAATAGGAGGAAGAGGAAGGGGTGATCTCAACCAAATCCTCCTTGACCCCCCATCTAGGCCTTGGGTCCACAGCTTCAGTGACTTAGGCAAATGGGAGCATCTCTTGGCCACCATTCAGAAGTGCCTGCTAGACCCCGATGGAACCAAAGTGCCTCCCGCATGTCACACTGAAGCCTAATGACTACATTCCCTACACAAGCCACTGGCTTGCCTGTCAGAGCATGGAGCAGCAGCACAGAATGGAGAACAGGAAGCAGCACAAGGAGCAGCCCCCAAAAATCCTTGCTGGGACGGAGGCTCCCATGGCCCCTATCTTGGCAATGCTACCGGGGCCTTGCTGCACCAACAAGTCAAGGGTACCACTGCTAGCTCCTGGGAACTTTTTGGACAGGAAGAGCATTGACTGCCGCCCGCCTGTGGGGCACTCTTTTGTCCAGCATAGCCAGGACAAGGAAGAGCTGCAGCACCTCCACGCCCACTGGAGAGGGGCTGGGTTGGGGTGGGATCCATCCCCAGCTCAGCCCCAAGCCACCCCACAGCTGCCTGTGCTCTGTCCCTCTGCCTGTGCGCAAGGCAGGGGACAGGACCCAGGAGACAATGAGCCTCCATCCCCAGAGAAACCCGCACTAGCACCAGGGGGGACACCCCAAGCAACCCAACAGAGCCCAGAGGTGCTCTGCACCCCCAAACCCACACCCCGCCACTTCTGCAGCACCAGGTGCTGGGCACGATGCTGGTGTGGGCCACCAGCAGGGACTGGGTGCTGCTGGCCTGACCCCACGGCCCAGTAGCAAGCATGGGGCGGGCTGGGAGCACGGCCGTTGGGAGTGAGTCAACCAGAAACTGCCGGGTGAAACAGGCCGCGAGCAGGAGGCAAATGAGAGCGCAAAGGGAAACCTCAAAAAGCTGAAGTGACGCGCTGGGGCGGGCGCGGAGGACACGGGGGTGAACGCGGTGCCTCACTTTGCCCATATATAGACAAATTGCAGCTCATCTGCACCAATGACAAGTGCGGGACCGTTGCGCTGGCGCCAGCGGGGCACAAAGTGCCCCGTCATTTTCCATGTCACCTGCCACAACCAGCCCGCAGGTGGGGGAAGGGGTGGCAGGCCAGGCCCCACTCCCCTTATGGGCCGTGGTGCTGCACGGGCCCCATCCCTGCAGGGCAACACCAGTTTCCCCCTTCTTTGCCTCTGTTCAAGGGTGGTACAACCACCCTGGGAGGCCCTGGGCACCTTTGGGTCTCTGTTGTGTCCCCAAGAGACAGAGAGCCTGCGTGGGGCTCAGGCACCCAGGACTGTGTGGGTGATGTGGAGACAGAGGCATCAGAGCCCATGGCCTGGCTGAGGGGCTGGACCGGGCAAGGGAGATATGGGGAATGGGTGCTGGGGCCTATGTGGGTGGTAGATGCCATCCACCTCCATGACCGCCTGAGATTGGTTATAGGCATATGAAACACCTGAGTCTCTCCGCTTGGAGGACACATGGCTGCGCACCCACCATCAGGACCAGTTGCAGGACT